CAGGAAGGCCTGGCGCAATATGGTTCATGGGGTCACGAAGAGTCGGACACGACTTAACGACTAAACAACAACAACAACAGTTAGTCCTTGCTTAACAACTGTTTGTTTAGTGACCTTTTGAAGTTATGATAGTGCTAAAAAAAGTGACTTACGACAACTGCTCGAAGTTACAACTGTCGCAGCACCCCGGTGGTCATGTGATCGTGATCCAGGCACTTGGCAACCAGCATGTGTTTATGACAGCTGCAGCATCCCAGGGTCACGATTGCCATTTGTGACCTTCCCAGCCGGCTTCCGGTAAGTAAAATCAATGGGGAACCGCATGATTCACTTAACGATGATGTGATTCACTTAACAACCAAGGGATTCACTTAATGACTACTGCAAAAAAGGTCACAAAATCAGGTCTGGTCATGTGATGATTTGCTTAACGACTGCATCGCTTAGTGACCTAAATTCCAGTCCCAATTGTGGTCGTTAAGCAAGGACTACCTGTATTGTATGGGCCAAAAGGAAATTCTTCTGCTTCTTCTGGTTGTTTCCAACTCTGCTTATTCCATTAAAACAAGCATCCCAAGGAAGTTACATCCAGTTCCATTTAAGACAAAGATGGGCAACCTCTTCATGCAGAGACCAAATTTAACTTGCTTGGGATGGGGAGGGGGCAGTAGCAAACAAAGACCCAAAGTATCTGCAAAAGGCAGCCATGATTTTCTGTGTTTCTCAGTTAGGTGGAGGAACTGGTTTTTCCTTTTGTTTGAAAACGGCGCCGAACCCAGGTTTCACAGGCTGATTTTCAGCAAATATGCTGCTGAATTTTCACAGAAAGTTGGAGAGGACACTGGAGGCTACTTCAAAAAAAAATAAAGGGGGCCTACATGAGTTACCCCTTTCCTACCACTTCATCACCGGAGGGGGCAATCCCTAACCAACCTTGGCTGATCTCAAAAATGCTAAGTCAGATGGTCAAACCTGCTTATTAATGAGATAGGAAATGACCAGGAACTGTCAGGTTTGTAGGCTAGACTGGGAACTAAAAAAAAAAAAATCTCAGAAACTACTTTCATACTGTTGCCAAGAAATCATCATGGTCACGTCTCTATGATCACTGGGATTCCAGCTCAATTCAAAGAAAACGTTTCTTTTGCCCGTGTTGTAATTAATCCTGTTAGTGACACTAATAGTGATGCTATTATTAATACTGTCCTTAATACACTTGGACACAACATGAATGGATATAATGCAAAGGTCTATTTACTATGGATTTCTTTTAATACTTAAAAGAGAGCTGCCAATTGCTTCTGCTGAAACCAAGTCTGTAACTTGTTCATGATCTATAGTCTTCTCCAAAGTAATGCCAAGATAAAGCATCATGGAGTTCACACCCTCAGCTTACAGCTCGTCAGTGAAATGTTCGCAAAAATATAAAGAATCCATGCAATTTATCAGCAATACATTAGGAAATACATATCCATAACTTTCCATCTCACTGGTTTCTCTACATTCTTTGTCAATCAATCATTCTATATTAATGCTGAACAAAAGATTAGACTAACCAAAACTTTCTATTACAAAACACAATGCAAGTTTTGCTAAGCCTTTTTAAAATATGCAAACAGAATGTAACCAACCTTTGTTGCTCCACCATGGGACTTTGTTACTGAATTTCCATTTTTCTTTTTACATTAAACTAAACTGCACATTTAATGCGCCACAGTGGACTTCTCTGTTAAGTAATATCCAGATTCAGAACTTTTCGATGACCATGGTCATGAAGATTTATTTCTGAAAAGCTGTCTTAGCAAAACTTTCAATCCTTCTCTTTATTCCATATCATAAAAATGTGTATGCCAAGACAACTTTGTTCTACAGAAATACGCACACAGATATGCGACATGATACTACTTCAAGAAGAAAAAATAGTTGTCATTCGAAAACATATATTGTGGCAAAAACTTTCTAAGAGCTAAACCCGCTGCATTTCTACCCAGAAGCGAGTCAATAGGATTTACTCCTAGGTCAACAGTTTTTGTAAAACTGTTCTTTACAAAAGTACAGATCCATTCTATTATACCTTCATCCAAATGAGAACTCTCATTATAAACAGACAGGACAAGAATTCCCAGTGCAAAAGCACATGTGAACCCAACTACTGATAAATCATGTTTATGGCTTACATTGGCCAATGTGATCATACCCACAACACCATATTGATTCTACCATAAACATGATGTTTATCAGTGGTAAGTAAACATGCTTCATTTCTAATCAGGCCACAATCCTTCCGATTTGGGGGAAAAAACCACTATTTAAAAAAATAAAAAAGTGTAGGCATTGGAAGACTTTTGTACAAATTTAATTATAATCCTTTCTTTCAACTTCAGTGGTATTTCTCAATCAAACTTCTGCCTTTGCCTTCTTATCTGTATCATATCACAGTGATCAGTGGCTTGGCATACTCATTCTGGAGAAGAAAACCGTCTTTACACAAGAAGTACATTTATTTGCATGCAAAAGTTATTACTCTAGAGTTAATGAGCTAACCTGTGGCACCTGGAAGGAGGTGATCAAAAGTTCACCAAGGCCATCATTACAAAGGAAAACATCAATATAGTTAGATACATAAGCAAACTGATAAGTTTTCACAGCGATCCATCTGAAATTCCGTTTTTAATACTATGTGTACACCAAACTGTTGTCATGATCAAAAATGAATTTTTAACAGGGGAAGCCTTAGTCCCAAGCAAAAGTGTTTAAGACTGTTCACATGATGCTGTTGGGAGTAATTGGAAGTTATCATATCAAAAACATCTGCACGTTAGAACTAGCTGCAGGAAGTCACCAACGGTGCAACCATTCTGCCAATTACTGATAATCACTATCAACAGAGTAAGATACCATATGTTTTTAGTTCTTTTTCTTCATGATTGCAATTGCTTTCTTGTCCAATCAATATTGTGTTACATCCCAGGGGCTGATTCCATCAACAACGGGCCAACTGCAATTCATTTGACTCATCACAACAGTTTGGTCTTCACCCACTGATGGATGCATGATAGCGTGAGATGAACACTCTACATGCAATGAAGACAAAGATGATAGAAACAATACCACAGAGCCATTACTGGCACTTCTCCTTAGCCACAACCTACAGTGACAGTTTCTTCATCTAATTTAGGCTTCTCCCAATCCTACTACATAAAGTGTGATGTCGTCTTCTTCAAAGTTGAATCAAATTCTTCGGCAGTCATGTGGAACTACCCAACAACCGAGCTCTTCTTCAAATGCTCAAAGGCATTGATGAGAAGCCCTAAAGAAGTCCTCTACTGCTTTCCTTTGTTACCTGGTAGATACCAGGTTGAATGTCTGACTGTGTGTCTGAATGTTTAACATAAGTTAGGATTTATCTGGTGTGAGTGCTTTAATCTATGATTGTATAGCTATGTTTATATCCAGTTAATGAGTTGTTATTATCGTCTTCATCATTGTTGTATGATTATGATACTCTTTTTCTGTACTTGTAAGCCACTTTCAGGTTTTTGTAGTGGAAAGGTGGTATATATACTTCTGGGATACACAGACCTTAAATAAATTGGAAATATGAAAGTCAGCATGCACAGACTTTCTCTTATCTAAAATATATACAGGATTTTAGCTGAAGTTGGGGAAGTTTTGTTAATATTTAACCAGGATCAGGCCTGGTTACTACTTAGCTAGAAGCCAACAGGAACTCGAAGGGCTGAAGGCTAGACTGGAGTAAAGCAATGGAATATCACTTCCGTATGTTTGCCAACAAAACTCTATGGGCATACCCACCAAGACAGCACAAGCAAGCTTGACTTAAAGGACACCTTTTTTTAATGTGTTCTAATTATGTTTTTAATTTGTTTGTTAGCCTCCTTGAGTAATAGAATGATGCACTATAAATCCTATAAATAACTGAATAAAACAAATTATTTAATGTATATATACTAGGAAAAGACAAGATTTCTTAATGATGCTCAATCCCCTATGTTCTTGACATGTTACTCTATCATCTTAGTTTCTGAGATCCACAACATTTTGTCCAGGTTGAGCAACAATTGCCATTAAAATGCAACTGCTATGGTCATAAAGCATTGTCACCAATGACTTATCAATTAAGTCTTACCTACGTCAGGGAGCGTACAAAGAGTATCAATGAAAGGCCAGTGTAAATAACCCTGTATTATCCACAATGGCTATTATAATAACTCAGTCATGATTTGACTGTCCCATTCCACAAACTTTAAAATAGGACACTCGAGCATATAAAAGCAGCATGGAAGCTACAGCCCTTTCTCTACTCTTGCCAAAAACGTCTCCCACACATTAGGCAGATACCAATAACAGCTCAGTGGCATTTGTTTAATACTATCACTTATACATAGAGCCACAAACAAGGTGAACGGTGACAGAATGAAGACGTGATACATGGCATCTGCTGGAACGGAGGACATGATGGAGTAAGAATGAGCATTAATGATGAGCATAACCAAAATAAGAAAGAATGGTAAAAACTGAACATGCTGTGCTGCTAACATGAGTTTGATTTCCAATGGTCCTACGAGCAGTGTGTATTATCATTCGGTGTGCAAGATGAATTTCCTTATCACGTGGCATCATGGTGCAGGCAGACTGGACAGATGCTATTAAAGTTGATTGGGTGCTTGGCTTGATGAGTGCTGTGATAACATGCGGAGCCCGTGTCAAGTCGGCCAACATTTTGCTGCCAGGTTATCAGCAGATTCTCATTTTCTCTCTTGACATGGATAATTGTTCTCTTTTCAGGATAACTTAAAGAGACCTCGAAGGCTCTTTAAATGTCTGGCCAGATCAACAAAAACTTAAGTATGGAAAGGGTTGATGAAAGCTATAGTCTGGTAGAACTATAGGCCAATAACCTGCCAGCAAAATGTTTAGCATATAGATCTTTCTTTCTCTTACCTGGCCGTCCTGGTATGCCTGGTGGCCCAGGGCTACCCTTGGGTCCTTCTGATGGTGGCCCAGGATGTCCTGGAGGACCCACTGGGCCCTGGACACCAGGAAATCCTTTGGTGCCCATTTCTCCCTTCAGACCAGGGGGTCCTGGACTTCCTGGGGGTCCAGGGAAGCCCGAATCACCTTTTTGACCTGTTTGTTAAAACGAAGAATGAGAGAGGCATAGAAATGGATGAGCATTCCTCAAATGTCCTTGAATTCCTAATGAAGAGATGCAAGAGACATGCAAGTTGCCTGGAAGGTACAGTCCCATGCTGGAAGTCTTCAGGTTAGATTTCCTGCTCTGAGCTAGAAGTACACCTTCCATATATTCTGGGCATGCCTCTCCTAAAATTTCCAGCCAACATGAGTTTCAGCTGGGCATTCTGAGATTTGCAACATTAAGATACCTGGCGATGCCATATTGGACTAGATAATTTGCACACTTGCCCAATTTCATGATTTCCCCTCTGAGGTTACAAGTTATTTGGCAACATCTGTCAACCTTGGCTGATGTCAGGAAGCTAAGCAGGAATGGACTTGAACAGAAAACCGGCAGGAAATCCCTGACTTTGGATAGACTGCGAAGTCAAAGAAACTTCTTGAACTCAGGCCATGGCAAATGTCTTCCATATTGTTTAAAGGAAGCTCCATGAATGTGTCAATTTGGCCACCAGCAGTCCAGGTCAACTCAAGGAGGTTGCATAATGCCCAGCTTAAGGTAAAACATACCATTATGTTTTGTCAGGATTGAAACATTTCTATTATTTATTTTATTTCTTACATTAATTTATATGCCAACTCCTCCTAGGTCTCCAGGTAGGTTACAATAAAATTCACCAGAACCTATCAATGCTTACCATTAAAAGCAACCAATAAATAAAAATAAAACCCCACCATATGGCCTCCATCTTCAAGAACGGCACCCATAATTTGGCTGCCTGCTTCTGTTAAACTGGGCAACCTCTACCTCAAAGGCCTGCTGAAAAGCTATGGTCATAAGTGCCTTTCGGAAGGACAACAGAGAGGGAAACTTCCCCACATTAGTGGGATGTTGTTTCATCATGGGGAGCAACCACCCAAAAGATCTGCTTTCTTGTACCCTCTCCCTTGAATTCTTCCAGGAGAGAGGTCCACAGCCTGACCTCTTGGCCTACACAGATGCAAATTCTACCTGGGCCTGATGGTCCTGGAGGTCTTGAGCCATAAAGGACTTTATCGGTAATAACCAACCCAAATTGGGCACAGAAAGAGCAGCTCCTGCAAAATTGTTATTCTACTTTGATTCTGGTAGTGCCACTGGATCCAGGATGGAGGAATGTTGAAGGCTGTTGAATAAATAGTACCTCCATCTTGCTGGAATACACCCTAAACCCATTCCATCCCATCATGGATCCCAGGTACCAGATCAAAACTTCTACCACATCAGGATGGAGCTATAAAACTAGGTATCACCATCAAATTGATGACACCTCACCCTAAACTGGTGGACAATCTGCCCCTTGAGTTTCATGTAGATATTAAATAAAGTGGGGGAGAGGGCTGTCAGCCTTGCGAGGTAGTCCAGAAAAGAAGCACATCCAGATGAACTAATCCTACTTTACTGTAAGATTACACGAACAGAATCTTGGAAGACTAAAAGTATTTCTCCCTTCCTCTCTTTTTAGTCTCCAAAAAATGAGGGAGGGTCCCTTCTGAAATGCTTCCCATGCTTTTCCCCCACCTGTGGACAGAGCTGCCTCTTATCAGACTATTACCTAGGCTGCGGATCTTCCTCCTGTCTCCCAAGGTCATTCCCACATACCATTACAAGTGTTAGGGCATCCCACCCAGAGGTGCCCAACGGTTTGACCTCTCCTTCTCCACCAACACAAATTGTAACTGCCAACTCAGGAAGGAGCAGAACAACTGTTAAAACAGTGACTCCAACTTCCCATCTTGCAAGCAGTCCAAAAGAATACCAAGGTCAATTATATCAAATGCTTTGAGAGATGCATGCCCCTCATCTAAGTCCTGCCACAGCTAATCCCCGAGAGCAACCAGGGCAATTTCCATCCCATACTTGGATCTGGACTTAGACTGGAAGAGGTCCAGATAATCTGCTTCATCCAGGGCCCTCTGTAATTGCTGTTCTCCCTCCTTCTTAACCACCTTCCCCAAAAAGGGCAGCTTGCAGAACCAAGGATGAGCACGGATCAAGCACAGAGGTGATACTTTTATCCCACAGAGAACCCTGTCTACTTCCACAGAGTTCACAGGTGAAAACAAATCCCAGATCACTTCACAACATCTCATCCTCATCTCATCAGATTCTGCCAGCCAGCCTCCAATTTTGAGCGTACTTTTATCTCAGGCATTGATGGAGGATCACTACAATGCCATTCGATACCTCATCCTCTCATGTCCAAATGTCAATTGCACCTCTGTCTCCAAAATGTCTTCAGTCATTTACTGGAAGCTGCTTGCCCGTCTAGATGTTGGTCCATCAGCTCCAGGGGCAAAGTAGAGAAAGTGTTTTTCCTCACTTGGTACCCAACTCTGTGATCTATCATGGAGCAATGAACTTTCTTTTTCATTAATAAAGAAAAATAGACTTTGCCTGAGAGTCCTGGGAGGCCTCGAGGTCCGGGAAGTCCAAATCCTGGTTGACCTGAAAGAACACAACCACAATGGCCAAGTTAACAATGCAATTACATATTATGAATCTCTGAATGCAATCTTTGCCAAAACACATACATCTTTTAATTGATGTATTCATCTCTGTTATAATGATGAGAAAGGAAAAGAAAAGCATCAAAGGGAAAAAAGGGGACTCACCTGGTTCACCTTTCTGTCCTGCTGGTCCAGGGATACCATCTCGCCCGGGCTGTCCTTTTTCCCCTGAAGGTCCTGGAGAGCCAGGGTGACCAAGATCACCTAAGGAACAGAAGAAGAGAACGTATTGCCAACAATGAGTTCTCTTGATGTTCTAGAGAAGTAAACTAAAGAGCTGCCTAACACTTCTAAGGCAATTCACAGCTAAGATGAAAACAATTCCTTGTGTTTATACAGACCTGACTGAGGACTGGAATTGTTCTTCTAACACAGAGATAACCTTCCAGCTGCTCTTCTTAAACATTTTAGAAAAGGAGAAATTGGGAAATTTCACAGAAGAGCAGATGTACGTAGGTATCTGCAGCTAACCACAATTACATATAGTGATGGAATGTGTTTTGTCTCTTGCTCTTGCTGCTACGCCCTAGGTGGATACCCATGAAGATGTAGATTAGGTTATCATTCTTAGTTACACCTCTGCCATAGGCAGTATTTCCCACTAACAGTAAGGACAACAAAGGGCGCAAGCCCAGCCCAACCCTATGTTTATTCTAAGCAAGCCAATGCTGTTCTCTGTAAGCTAAGATCCTTAATCTACAGACTACAATGCAAACCTAAAGACTACTGTCCATATCACACCAACTAGTAAGTGCATATAATATATTGAAATGTATGAATCCAGCCCTGTGGCTCAGTCAACAAATCACAAAGAAACCATGGCACAACATGTACGTGTGGATTGGGTTTGTAAATGATGCTTTCTGGCTTAGCATGTGGCCTGCTGGCAGCCACTGTGACTTAATCCACTGAGCACAGTTTAGCATGCTGAACCTAGTTGATTCCAGATATCCACTACAGGATGGTGGCTTGATTGACTGCATCTGGTAGAAAGACCATAATGAGTAATTTTTCAATCCATGCTAGATTGAAGAACGGAATGGCAAGGAGTCAGATTCAGGCAGCGTTGTCCCTTGAGCCTCACAGCACTTGGAAAAACGGAAAGTGTGAAGCAAAGCTTCTTTCTCCTAATTTCTAATATACTAGATCAAAGGCTTTTTAAGATAAATCATGTCAACCAAACATACATCCACAGTAAACAAACTTTTCTCTATTTGATATTTTTCAGCACATACCTGGAGGACCAGGTGGCCCTGGAACACCTGGGCTTCCTGGAGATCCATCAAGACCTTTTGGTCCTGGAATGCCTGGTGTCCCTGTGAAAACAGAACTTGAATTTGAAGGAAGCCCAACACAAATTCAGTATGCATCAACATCCCCGAATTGCAAAGATGGAAATCCTAAAAATGAAGTAGAGTCTTCTGTGATTAGAAGCAAAGAAAGAAATAGAAAGAAATAGGGGCCATAGAAAACAGCTGTGCCTATTCCCAGTTTAGGGCCTTTGTTAAATAATCCAGATTTTAGTTACCAAGGCAGATGAAGATGGACTATATAGGAACATCTCTCTTACACGTACAAGCCCCTTGCTTCCTTCCATTAAAGTAATCCTTTTGATTCCTAAGCAATCTGCTTCCACCACAGCTGGCAATTTCTAAAAACATCAATAACTTTCCTGTTCCTTTTTCCTTCCTTATCCCTTCTCTTGTCTTTTTGGAACCCTTGGAAAAAGGCCTTTCTGGTTTTAAACTTCCATAAACCACTCCAGAAGGTTTTTGAAGTTCAGATCAAGAAACAAATAAAATATCTGCTTCCAAGAAACAGATAAAATTTCAGACAAAGACAACTAGCAGAAGGTAACACTTTTCAGTTCAGCAACTGGATTGTTGAAAAAAACCAGAACATTTTAGAAGACAGGGCAATTGACACAGTAAAGGCAGAAGCAGAGAATGGCTTCTTTGTAACTGCCTTAATTCCCTTTATTCCATGAAAGACTTTCCCAGTTGGAGACCTTCTAGATATGACGAGTCCCAAGTGTCTGGAGGATGCTATAGGAACCCATCACATCTGGAGGACATGAGATGGAGGAAAACCCCTACAGAGAACATAAGCTCTGGAAGACTTATCTGTTTCAGAAGCAAAAGTTGAGGAGCACAGAAGAAAAGAGAAGAAAAATGAGTCATGCTAAATGTAAAATTAATTACCTGGGAACCCAGGAAGGCCAGGTTCACCATTTGCTCCTGGAACACCTGGTGGACCAGGCAGTCCGGAATTTCCAGGAGATCCTTTAGTGCCTGGAGGACCAGGATACCCAGGCAATCCACTTTCACCCTGGAAAAACATAGGAAAAAAATTAAAATTGGAAAAATCTAGAGGCCACTGGAGCATTTGATGGTGCAGGATGAAAAAGTGGTACACAGTATTTTCTGACACCTTCCTCCCGGTAGCTCCCATTTGTCAGCACCCTCAAAAAGACCAGGAGCATCCAAAACCATCCTTCAAATTTACTGCTCTCCATCATTTTCACCTAACTTTATATATTGGAATTTCTATATCTGCAGTTCATGATCTAAGAGGGATAGTGAAGCAAGTTTGCAGGATGGGGGAATGCACACATGAATCAAAAGTAAAGAAAAACTTTATTTATTAGACTGTTGAGTAAAATCTCCTAGACAGCTAGATACAAAATTCATGTATATATTTCAGCTTATTTCAGATGTATTGTCCCTTCTTTATTTCATGCCGTTTGTGGCCCCACCATTTACCCCTTTTTCCCCTCCTCTATTCCCTGTCCCAGTATCTTCCACCTGAAATAACACTGCATGCATCTGGTGGACTATACTTTCTTTATAAGACCTTCTCCAATAACAGAGTCTGTCCTGTTATTTTGTCGTAAGACTGTTTTGACCGCTGATTAACACAGCTTTCTAGTTAATATCAAATCGCATGTTGTGTAGGCATAAAGTCTACGATCCAAAAACTTATGGCCAAAAAGAACAGATCCACTGGTACACCACATGTCCCCAAACAAACTGAGCTGAATGATCTTCCATCAATTTATGGGCAAAGAGACCAGGTGAACATCTCTCCAACTTTCTCCAAGTCACGGAGAAATTCTCCAACAACTTTCCTTAGCAATGAGAGTAACATGGGTCTTTAGGGAAGCATGGGAAACCAGGGGGACCACTGTAGAGAAGATAATGGAATAAAGATAGAACTGCACACATGTCATGGCTGCTTTATCTCTAAATTAAGGACAAGAATGTTTATATTGAGAGAGTGGTTCCTTGGTGCAATGCTATTATAAATATGGACTATTTTAACCCTTGGTGTGGATATGGCGTATATGCCGCTTTGAGTCAGTTGTGATGGAATTGGTTTATAAGCCCAAGCAATGAATGAATGAATGAATGAATGAATGAATGAATGAATGAATGAATGAATGAATATCATGCTCTACCCACAAGAAGGTCTCCAAAGACAATTTAAATACACGTAGAGATGGCTGGCCATACCATTAGGAAGAGATAACTGTTTTGAGCTTGAAACACCTCCAGAATGGTTCAAACACCTCATTTTTGGGTCAAAACAACTCAAATTTGAATTCTTTCTCACTCCAGATTCAAAACACCTCCAGCATCTGCCAAAATCAGAAGATGGCTTGCTTTTCTTCCTTTAGCCATTTCTTCCACTTGTACCAACAGGTGAACGCTTGAGAGTTGAACAGGTCAATCCTGCCCATGATTATGAAAAGGTGCTCTGCTTCTGAAAAGAATGTTTGGGCAACCTACCTTGGGACCAGGGGGACCTGGAATGCCAATGCCTGAAAGGGCTGGATCACCCTTCTCTCCCTTTAGTCCAGGCAATCCAGGAGAACCAGGTTGGCCAGGACGCCCTGGGATGCCCGGTGAACCTTTTCCACCTGAGGGACCTGTGCAAAACAGTGAAAAAATAGCAGATCGCAGTAGCTTCCGAGGCAGTGTATGCAACCATTGGTGATCAAGGACCACACTTAGCAAGTGGAGTGGCAGGATAAGGGATGAACGGGGTGAGAATAAAACCCAGATGGATTTAATTAGATGGAATACCAAGTGAGAGAGAGAAATGTAGAGTTTCTGCATCACAGAAGCACATTGGGAAGTGCTAGTTTTATAATTTAATAACAACTGGGATGACTAATTTTTAAAACATCTATTGCAAGACTGGTTAACATAAGAACTTAAGGTTTGTTGGATTAGCTCACAGATGCCTATCTAGTCCAACATCCTGGATAACCAGTTGCACCTGGGAAGACAGACATAGCCATGTTGGCTCCCTAGCAGCTGGTACGCTGCTTTTAATTCAGGGTTCCATAAAAGCTAACTTGATTTGGTAACCACTGGTAGATTGAATCTCCATAAATTTCTCACGTCCCTGTTGAAAGTTATCTAAGCTAATATCTATGATCGGGCCATATAGAGGCAATTTACGTAGTTGAAATTTAGTTTTTGATGGCAATCTTCTAAAGCAGCCTTTCCCAATCTTTTGCATCATCCAGAGATGTTGATCTTCAACTCTCTGGTAGGGGTTTATGAGAATTGAGGTCCAACTCATCTGGAGAGCATTAGGTTATGGAATGTGTTGTTCTGAAACAGTAACCAGAATTATGGGACACATCTCACGTACCCTTTTAACAATGCAATCCTACCTTTGTCCAGTCGAGCTATAAGACTGCACCTAAATGTTTCCAACTACCATTCAGTTCAATGATACGGTTGAAAGGGGTAGGGAATGCTCCTAAAATTCCTACCTGGCAGTCCCATCTCGCCACTGGCACCTTTTTGTCCTGGAGGCCCAGCTGGTCCGGGGTGTCCAGGAATTCCAGTGTCTCCTTTGAGACCTAGAAAAAACAGAAGTATTGTCACTTGTTTGATGCTGGATGGATTTCCAGGCCATAAACATGTAAGCAATAAGCACATTTTTACAAGCTGTAATGGGCAAGTTCATATAAGTTCATACATCATGACTTAGTACAATATGCAGACCTGACTATTGCCATTTGTAAACCATGGTTTAGTGTTCTGTGCTGGTCACCATGGCTTGCCTTGATGCACACATCCAGTGTCTATGGCATGAGCACATCTTGAAGTACGAAGCAACACTGCGCTGTCTCCCTCTGTGACCATCGATACAGCAGAACTCCTGAGCTTCCGTATTTCCCACGATCCCAAGAATAGGCCCAATTAGACACAATGCCAAGTGACTTTGAATTATGTTTGTGGTGATTTGTTGTAAATGCTACAGGCTAAGCATTTGTGGCGCAGGGAGATTGGCAGAGTGGCAGTGAGAGAAGCATGCTTAACTAGCCATTATCCTTGGTTTAAACCAACTTCTCTTCCTTGTGGAGATGAAAAGAAACACCAGCTACTAAATGGGCCAAGAAGTAGTTGTCATTTTGTGTTGTGATACAATGACCAATGACCTAGACACATCCTCTAATACACCATGTTTTTCTTGAGTAGAAGCGGGGGGGGGGTTCTTTCCAAAAATAGTGGGCAGGGCTAGGTCAAAAGTACCGTATTTTTCCGACTATAAGATGATACTTTTTTCTAAAATCCTTACCCTAAAA